ATTTGTTACAGGTGCAGGTAATGACCGATGATAAAAGCAACCTTGCAGTGTAGCGCCAGCTTGCGCAAGCTCAGAGCCGTTTTCTTGCTATTTCTGAGCGTCTCTGGGCCTTATCCAGGCCTGTCTGCTGTCTAATGCGCAGCCATGTCTGAATCATCCAGGCATTTCTATCTTATTGTCAAGAAGACCTAGCCAGAAGACTGGCTTATGGGGCCTCAAGGTCATTAACTTGTTAAGAACATAAGAACATAAGAGACGCCAATGTTGGATCAGGCCAGTGGCCCATCTAGTCCAACACTCTGTCACACAGTGGCCAAAAATACCAGTGCCATCAGGAGGTCCAGCAGTGGGGCCAGGACATTAGAAGCCCTCCCACTGTTGCCCCCCCCCAAGCACCAAGAAGACAGAGCATCACTTGCCCCAGAGCCCTTGCCCCAGAGCCCTTGTGGCTAATAGCCATGGACCAAGAAGACAGAGCATCACTTGCCCCAGAGCCCCTAGCTATACCTTGTGGCTAATAGCCACTGATGGACCTCTGCTCCATATGCTTATCTAATTCCCTTTTGAAGCCGTCCATGCTTGTAGCTGCCACCACTTCCTGTGGCAGTGAATTCCATGTGTTAATCACTCTTTGGGTAAAGAAGGACTTCCTTTTATCCGTTCTAACCCAACCGCTCTGCAGTTTCATGGAGTGCCCACAGAGTTCTTGTATTGTGAGAAAGGGAGAAAAGTACCTCTTTCTCTACCTGCTCTTTGCCATGCATAATCTTGTAAACCTCGATCATGTCACCCCTCAGCCGTCTTTTCTCCAAGCAGTAGAGTAAGGCCCTCGGGAAGCCCATCCCAGAGGGACACGCAGTGTCGAAAAGTCCAGGTAAGACCCAAGAAGAGTCTGGTAAGACCCCAGAAGAGTCTGTCCTGTGTCATCCTCCCCAAACACTTGCAGCACATAGTGAACATGGAGCAAGCATACAGATAGGAACGTGTCCAGCAGGGCCAGGGTGATGTAGTGTAAACGTGGGGAAGTTAGTGCTGGCCGGCCTTGGAGAAACCCGGGCATCGGGGTCAACTGAGTGGACAGGTATATGTGGCTTTTCTGTACCTGTGTGTGTTTTTCTGTGGCAGATGCTTTCTTGCCTCAAAGGGGTAGAGGAAGAAGAGGAAAAGGAGGAGGAGGACGAGGAGGACGAGGAGATTGGATTTATACCGCGCCCTTCACTTGGAGTCTCAGAGCGGCTTACAAACTCCTTTCCCTTCCCCTCCCCACAACAGACACACCCTGTGAGGTGGGTGGGGCTGAGAGAACTCTTGACAGAAACGGCTCTTTTTCAAGGACAGCTGTGCCAGAGCTTGCGACTGACCCAAGGTCACATCAGCAGGTGCAAGTGGAGGAGTGGGGAATCAAACCCAGTTCTCCCAGATTAGAGTCCACGCACTTACAATTTGGTGTAGTGGCCTCCAGGAAGGAGTTTGTTGCTTGCCCCTTGGGAAGAATAGAGGTTGCTTTCTCTATCCTGTTGACAATCAGCAAACTTTGCCTCAACTGAGAACCTGTCTCTGTGTTTACTGGGCTAAAAGGGACAGTGGGGATCTCTTTGATAGGGCCCGATTTCACCCTCATGGGGTGAGGACCGGTCCCCCTCACTACAGCAGAGGGTGCTGTGTGGTTTGGCTAAAGCGAGTTCCCCTTGGGTTGCAGAGTAAACTGGAGGGACTACCTGCTGCAGGCCACCCCTGCAAGGTAGAAACAGCTCCAAAGAAAGCGCCCCAAACCCATCTCCACCTAATAGAAAGGCCTGAAGACATCCAGGAGACGGTTGTAGGAATGGTTAGATGTGCCTTTGGCCTCACCCAGCAGGGCTGTTCTAAAGTAACCCCCATCCCCCCTTCCCTGGAATATCCAGGATTTAAGGATAGTGCAACGACTCAAGAGCCACGGCTGAGCTCAGCCCCAGAAGGAGCTTCCGAGCTTCTAGATTCAAGGCCCCAGAAGGCCTCCCTCCCTCCTTACCCAGCAGGCTTGATAACTGTACCAAACTAAGAGTTGCTTAGAAGTGAAGAGGAAATCCCCCATGGCTATTCCTTGCCTGTTTCGTTGACATAACTGTGAAGGATACTCACTTGCAGCCAGTTCATCTGGGAAGGAAGTCCTGTCTTGATGTCTTCTGGAGAAACTCTCCGGCCATTCTTCTGACACAAGGCCTTCGTCTGTCCCCACTGTCGTCTCTCTTACATTCCTGGCTTCTTTGGTAGAGAGAGAAAGTGATCACTCTTATGTGGGGAAGGAAAGAAATCCAAGGAAGAGGGAAAATTCTTCTGGAAGGACAGAACCATGGTCAAGACCAAAGCCATCCTTTCCAGATGTCAGAGCAGATGGCCGTAACCCCACGTGGGGGAGAGGCATGTTGTAAAGGCTGACAACTGAGAAATAAGAATCTGGCCCCTTCCAGAGTCTTTCTGGGAGCCCCCAAGCCCCATTTTGGCTTCAGGCCAGGACACCCTCTCTGGCTTGGGTGATTGGCCACCAGACTGGCCACATTTGCCCCTAGATCAGCGGGGGCTGCTTGTATCGCTCTATCCAGCCATCCTCAACGTCGCTTTCACTGACACCCCAACTCCTCAAGTAGCTGGGCAGGCCTCACAAAAACATATTGCTGTTTGTTGGGTATTACAAGTTGAAAACACTCAGTATATCTGGGGTTAAATGTTTGTTTATGTTACTCACAGGAAGTCACCTGTTTCTCATGTAACCAATGTTCTTTAGATGTAGAATGCCCGGGAATTTTCTCCCTGATCTAGGAATTTGATTGGGACTAAAGTGTCAAGGTATATTACCATTTTATGGCTTCTTTTCCTGTCTTTGTTTTGGCGTTCTGAAGAAGAAGAGCAGCCATAATCTCTCTCTT